GGTCCCAGGTTCGATTCTGGTCAAGGGCATATATCTTGGTTGCGGGCACATCCCCAGTGGGAAGTGTGCAGGAGGCAGCTGATCAATGTTTCTAACTCTCTATCCCTCTCCCTTCTTCTCTGTAAAAAATCAATGAAACATATTTAAAAAAAAAACCAACTGGTATAAATACAGATGTAACAGGACAATAAGAGAGAACCTGGCTATGCTGATCAACTGAATGCTATCTCCGTGTCATTCCTTCTTCGCCAACTCCGTCCACACCTTTGGGAACCCCTGGACCCGCTGAGGCTGGACCATAACACTTTCCTAGTGACAGTATTTCATCCCCCCTCCTCTCTTTCCCCCCAGGCTCAGACATCATCATGCAGCTAGATGACGTGGTCAGCAGCACTGTGACGGGGCCACGTGTGGAGGAGGCCATGTACAGGTGTGTGTGTGAGCATGGACACATTAGGGGAGGGGTTCCTGATCCTGCAGCCATGGTCTCCCTGTCCTTCACCAGGCCAAATGGCTGATTGATCCTGTTGCAGATCAATCCGCTGGCTAGACCGGTGCATTGCAGCCCATCGGAGGCAAGACAAGCAGAATCTCTTTGCTATCATCCAGGGTGGGCTGGACGCGGATCTCCGGGCCGCCTGCCTCGAAGGTAGAGCCATGTTCAGTGGGACCGGGTTTGTCACATCGCTGAGGGCCCCACATGGGCCTGGCATGCTCAGGCAGTGGTGGCTAATGGGTGAGAGGGTTCTCCAGGCGGAAGGAACGGCTTAAGCAAAAGCTCAGAGCAGAATGGAGTAGAATGTTTGTAGAATAATAGCAATTCCAATAGCCATCAGTTTTTGGGTGTTCACCTTCCACTATGCCAAGTGCTGCTCATGGGTGACCCACTGAGGATTTTTTGTTGTTAATCCTCACCTGAGGATGTTTTTTCCATTAAGGGAGGGAAGGGGGGAGAGAGAGGGATTGATGTGAGACACATCAATTGATTGTCTCCTGCATGCCCTGGACCAGGGCTGGGATCAAACCTGCAATCTCGGTACGTGCCCTTGACCGGGAATGGAACCTGCGACCCTTTGGTGTGGGGGCCGGTGCTCTAACCATTTAGCAAAACTGACTGGCCAGGGTGACCCATTGAGTTTTTCTTTTTTAAAATATTTTTGATTTCAGAGAGCAAGGAAGAGGGAGAGAGAGATAGAAACAAAATTATGATGAGAGAATCATTGATCAGCTGCCTCCAGCACACCTCCTACCGGCGATCAAGCCTGCAACTTGGACATGTGCCCTGATAGGGAATCGCACTGTGACTTCCTGGTTTATGGGTCGAGGCTGGGCAACCCATTGAGTTTTCCTAACCATCCTATAAGGTGGGAACTACCGGTTCCTGAGGTGCAGAAGGGAAAACTAAGGCAGAGAGCTCTTAAGTCACTTACCCAAAGCTAGACAGTTTGGATATTACGGAGCTGGGATTTGGACCAGGCCTTGAGCTCTAGAACCTACAGCATTCATTAATTGATTCACTGAGATGCTAGGAAGTCATGGAGGGATGTTGAGTGGGAGAGTGACAGGAACCAATGGGGAACCAAGGAAAACTGGTAGACAGGAAGCAGAGGCCCATGAGGGAGCTGGAGTAGTTGCCTAGGCAAAGAGTGATTGAGGCCTAAAGCCGAGGCTGTGGCCAAAGAGATGAAGGGGAAGAAGAAATGGGGGCAGAGAGGAAGAGGGGGAGGAGGGAGAAGAGGAGGAGCAGCATTCCCTTTTGCCTGATTGCCCCTCACCTTACCCTGTATCCCTAGAGATGACCAAGAGGGACGTGCCTGGCTTTGCCATCGGGGGACTGAGCGGGGGTGAGAGCAAGGACCAGTTCTGGAGGATGGTGGCACTGAGCACTTCAAGGCTGCCTAAGGACAAGCCCCGATACCTGATGGGGGTTGGGTATGTCCAAAAGCAGGGAAACAGCTGTACGCGTTGGATTGCGGATTTCTGGCGGCCCTCTAACCCCTCCTCCCCCCGTGTGTTAGGGGAAAGGACACAGCCCTGCCTGGGAGGGGACTAAGGACATGGCCCTCTGCTGGGGACTGTTGTGAAGGTCCCAGTCTAGGAGGAGTCTGAGGGTCCGGAAGGGGGTCTGGTTGTATGACCAGGGCTTGAGAGATTCTCTGCTCCCCTCCGCCCCCCATGGCCCCACCCCCAGCTATGCCACTGATCTGGTGGTCTGCGTGGCTCTTGGATGCGACATGTTCGACTGCGTTTTCCCCACGAGGACAGCGGTGAGGCCTTGGGCAGTGGGTAGCTGGGATGGGCCTCTTGATGGGCCAAGGTTGGGGTGGGGCCAGAAAAGGTGAAGACCTGGTGGTTGACCTGCCTTCCCTACCCCTTTCCTCCCTCAGCGCTTTGGCTCTGCCCTGGTGCCTACAGGGAACCTGCAGCTGAAGAAGAAGCAGTTCCAGAAGGACTTCCGCCCCATAGACCCTAAGTGTGCCTGTCCCACTTGCCAGAAGTAGGGAAGGATGGGGTTGGAGGCTGGGGGAAGGAGTGGAGGGGTGCAGGACCCTACACTGCTCAGCCTTGACTTCCTGTCCTCAGGCACAGCCGTGCCTTCCTGCATGCACTACTACACAGCGACAACACTGCAGCCCTGCACCACCTCACTGTTCACAACATCGCCTACCAGGTGGGCCCATGGTCTGGGTGGACAAGCCAGGGGTGGGAGTGGGGTCTCCTGGGTGCAGGTGGCTGACACTGACACTTCCACCCCATAGCTGCAGCTGATGGGCGCCCTGCGAGCCAGCATCATGGAGAAACGCTTTCCTGAGTTTGTGCGGGACTTCATGAACACCATGTATGGGGACCCCACCCTCTATCCCACCTGGGCCACTGAAGCCCTGGCCTCTGTGGGAATCTCATTGACTTGACCCAGCTTAGGGGAGGGAGGGAGGGGATGGGAGATATTGAAGGGTTGGATTTTTTATTATAATTTAGAGTGTGTCTGTTCCTTCTTGGGGAGGTGGTCTGTCTTGGTCCCCTTCTTTGTCTGACTGTCCCTGCGGTCGATGTCCCTCATCTCACATTGATTGTAATAACTAGTAACCATAGCAGCAGCTGGGATCTGGAAACCACCTCTCAGCCCAGCATGTAGGAAGTACCCCAGAGGGGGAGCTGCATTCCTTTTCCTGTGGCCCAGGTCTCCTAACCCCTCGGGGGTCAGTCAGCACTCCTGTCCTCCCCCTTTTTATATGTCAGTAAACAGGCCCAGAGAGAGGAAGTAGCTAACCCAAGGTCACCACCGAGGAAGTAGTAGCCTGTCTCCAGAGCTCATGCCCTTGGCCTTGACTCTTCAAACTTGGCATAATCTTGCTGTCAGTAAGCACAATGATAATGATAATAGGTGTGATCTAGCAGGTGCTTACACTGCACCCGGGCCTGTTCTAAATGGTTGTAATGTGCATTTAATTCTTACTACTTTATGATGCATGAATGGCGACCTTCCCCATTTTACAGACGAAGAAACTGAGTTTCAGGGGAATGAAGTCCCTTGGTCCCCCAGCAAATAAACAGGCCCAGGATCTAACCCTGATATGGCCAATTACAGAGCTGGTGTTCTTAGAAGATAAGGGATTTTAAATGGAAAAAGTAATACATGTGTAGGACCACCATTCAAATAGCATAAAAATTCAACTGATCAGTTTGTGTATTTTTTCAGAAACGTTCCATGTGTACATATTTTTCATGAATGTCGGTGTCCTTTACATGCAGTTTTGTACCTTGCTTTTTTTCTCAGTATATTTCAAATTGTTTACATGTCAATACATGAGACTTCCTTATCTTTTTTACAGCTGCCACATAGTATTTATTTAGCTCCAGGGAAACACCCTAACTGGGTGTTTCCAGGTTTCTGCTACTCTGGTCAAGGCAGAAACCTGTTCCTGACTCCTTACTGGGTTGCTTCAGCACTCTTTGGACTCCTCCGCAGTTTCTCTCTGGCCCATCTGTGCCCAGAGGAATCAAATTACTTCTTTTCTTAACGTGTCTTTTTATGGGCAGAGGATCAGTTGAGTTTGACTAGGTACTCAAAAAGATCATGATATGCTAAATTTGAACAGTCATGTAGTTAGCCTCATCCAGACAGGACGTGAAGGGAAGGTATTCTTAGGAGAGGGCACAACATAGCAAAGGCATGGTGGTGTGACTTTATATAGGAATATGGGTGGGAAACAATGCCGCTCCCTAGGAATCCTTAACATCACCTGACTCTCACATTCAAAGCATACTGGAACCCCCGCGCAGAGAGCTGGTTTGCAAGCCCGGTACCGAGATGCATTCTGGGACTTGTAGTTTTCGTTACAGCCCAGAAACTCGTGATGATCACCACTGGGTCCCACTAAGACTCGGCGTGTACAGTGGGTCTTACCCTCTGCTCCGGAAGACTCATAATAGACAATAATTACGAGTAAGAATGGGAGATTGATTGACAGATATAGTTCTCAATCAGAGTCAAAATTCGAAGATTATGGTATTTATATGAACCAATGGGAAATTTTTAGGGAACTAGGTAATGACAAACCAGTGTCTTAAAAAAAAAATCGATCTCTAACATCATTGGCTAGCGTTGTTGATTGGAGGGTCTCCCTGCCAATAAAACTGGCGATTTTCCTGCTGCCCGGGAACTCCTCTTAGTAGGCGGAGCCAACATGTCTTTTCCGAAACCACCTACCGGTTTTGACGTGTCGCTACCCGCTGGTATTGGCCCAAGCCTAACAGCGACAGTTCTTAACGTCCAATGAACCCGCGAGGAGGTCTCCAGGGGGACGGGTCCCTCCGCCTTAAGACCGTGCCTCATTTTTATTGACTGGTTTACATGAGTGGCAGCGCAGTTAGCCAATCAGGGGTGGCGCGAAGGCTTTGGGACCGGGCGGGAGGTCGCTCGGGTCGGGTGTCGCCTGAGAATCGGATGAAGTGGCGACCGTGAGGCCGAGCCGGGAG